CCCAAATGTCGCAATGTATGATTTCAAACTTGTGTAAGGTTTTTGTTTCACTGTTAGGGAAGGGTAATCTGTGTTGTTTGGCTAGAGGACAGACGGTACAATGTGTCTCCTTATTAACATCGATGTTAGTTGTAGATTTATGCAAAATGGAAATTTTGGAGGCAGGTAAATGTCCTAATCGACAATGCCAGATATCAATGTTCATTTTGATATTAGTACCATCGATGCTATTACAAGAATTGAATACAACTTTAGGAATAACGGCAGGCTGTCTGATGTTGAAATGAGCAGAATCAGATTTGAGTTGATGTTGAAAAGAAGGCTGAACTTTGAACTGAGGCTTAGGTTGTTGGAAATGGTATAGTCCATGCTCAAGGGTGCCCATTCCAATCATCTTCCATGTTGAAAGATCCTGAATAAAACAAGAATCATGAAAAAAATCTGGCAACAATTATGTTCAAGAGTCAATTTGCTGATTGAGATTAAATTGAATTTAAAAGATGGCACAACTAGCACATTGCTGAGATATATAGCAGGAGATAACATCACTTTTCCAATATGAGTTACTGCCACATTGTCACCATTAGGTAATCGTACAGAAGCACCAATCACACCAGTCACAATAGCCAATTGTTTGACAGAGGACACCATATGTTCTGAGGCACCGTGTCTAAAATCCACTTATATGCTATTTGTGAACATTTATTCTGATTACATGAGAAAGCAAATGCATCAGGATTAGTAGGTGAAGACCCATTAACATCCTGAGGCTGTTGAGTTTGAGCAAATTGATTTTGCAACTAAGGCATCGACATGGATAAAATATTCTGGCATTGGTAAGGAGTGATAGTGAGCTGTGAAATAGAGTTCACAACCCCTGAAACTTCATTGGCAGAGGTTTGACCTCGATGAACTTGTCCTACAACATTCACAACTGGAGGCTTTTCTCTACTAAATCTCTGAGTAGAAGGATTACTGAATTTCTGATTAGAAGGATAACTGATCAGCTTATAGCACTTGCCTTTGATATGTCCAGGCAAACCACAGTAACTGCACACAAGTCTCTCCCTCCTCTGATTAGTGAAATTCAGCATTTGATTAAAAGACCTCTGCACAACTCTGCCTACAAAAGCAGCAGCATCTTGTGTATTCTGTTTGCCAGCAACAATTTCTTTTTATCTTTTATCTTTTAAAACAAAAACAAAAACCTTATTCAGCGATGGTAAAGGATCCATAAATAAATTTGACCTCTAACACCAGCAAAATGTTCATCTAAACCCATGAAGAATTGCATGATTTGATCCCCACGTTTATAATCAGTATTTTCACCACTTGGCCCGTAATTCTCCAACTCTTCCCAAAATCCTTTGAGCCTATTAAAATAGGAATTAACAGAATTATTCGACTGAGAAATAGAAGCAATTTGCTTCTTCAACTCATAGATCCGAGGTCCATTGCCTTGGCTATACCTATTACATAATTCAATCCAAATCTCCCTAACTGAATCCTTGTGCATAACACTTGGATAAAGCTCTTTAGGTATATAATTGATGATCCAAGAGGAGACAACATGATTACAAATCCTCCAAGCAGCAAACAAATGATCATCCACCGAAGGTTTAACAATCGTTCCATCAAAAAAACCTTTTTTATTTTTAACACTAAGCGCCATGGTTGCTGCACGACTCCATGTCGCATAGTTCTCTTCAGTAAGAACAATAGAAATCAACTGCATACCAGTATTATCTCCATAATGAAGATAGTAGGGACTATTAGGATCACTTATCAAGCGATTAATTATGGAGATCGCGTCTCCTCCAACTGAATCTTCAACAGATGAATCAGTAAAGGCATTCGCCGCATTTGCCTGATCGAATTTACTTTGAACTTCCACCTGAACGCTAGAATCATTCGTCATCAAAGAAAACTATAGATTGGATCGATTTGCAAAAATCAGAATCTAATTGGCGAGCACAACCTGCTCTGATACCATGTTAAACTGATGAAGAATGATCTAGAGAGAAAGGAGAACAAAAGAAGGGAAAATGGAAACTCAATTGATCTGAATTGAATTGGGAATTGTAGACGGAAATTACCCCAATTTATACACAACATCAACTAACAAAGCTAATTGGAACCTGTGAAAAGACATAAATACCCTTCATACTATATTTACATTTCAACAGAGATGGTGAAAACCTGTCTTCACAAGCTCCGGAAAACCTCCCAATTGAGCAGTCTTTTTTTATGTTACAGATCTTGTATTGTATTTTCGTCATATGCTTCTATTGGATTTTCGAACATTGCTTTATATCTTATATCCTTCAATTGAAAAATAAAATTTCTCCTACAATGTCAAAATGACATATTAATGTATTCCTACAATGTCAAAATGGCAGATTAATTTCTCCTACAATGTCAAAATAAAATTTCTCCTACTTGAAGCATTTTTCGCAGAAAGAAGAAAATGTTGGGGCATTGAATTTAATTTTGTATTACAATGTCAAAATGACAGATTTATGTATTCTGTAATTTGTCTGATTAAGCAGTTGTTTCATTCCCATGAATACTTCCAAAAAAAAAAAAAACTTAGCTGAAAGTAAGTTGAAATGGGTACTTCGAAATGATAATGAATTGAAAAAAAACTGAATTATGTCAGTGTTATAATTTGTGGTTGGTTATTTTCACTGAAATTCATTTATGTTTTGCTGAACATTGCCACTTATTGTGTTGCAGTAGGAGATGTTGACGAGAATGTCTCGAACATTGTGATAGCGATGGAGAAGGAAACGTTAGTAGAAGATGGTTCGATGGTGCATGAGGTGCCGGATGTGGGAAGATTTTTCAACAATGAAAAAGAATTGTGGGATTTCTACAAAGGATATGCATGTCGTGTAGGTTTTCCGGTTTGAAAAAGGAATTTTAAAAAGGGTGACTATGGGAATCTTAAATATTTGACCTTGACATGTGGTCGTGAAGGCCACAAAAACACAATTACAAGCGTTTCTTTGAAACCCCAACCAATAATTCAGACAGATTGTATTTGGGTACTTGTGTAACAATGGTTTGTTGCTGCATTTGACTGAATGTGATCATTGAAAAGCTATTGAGTTAATGTGCTCATATTGCAGCCACGTTTTAGCATGCGTTCAGAGAGTTTTATTTTTTAAATTTGGTGATTCCTGTTTGTCAAAATGTGGGTGCTGCTGCCATGAAATGCATATTAACTTGGAATCATCCTCTGTTTGCTAACAAATGGATGTTCTTCTAATCATTCGGTACCTAAGACATACAATGTTGAAAAGAACACCAACTTCAGTACACCAATAGTATGGCAAACTTTGATTAGAATGGTAAACTGATTCCACGATATTACTTGACGTCAAAACACTAAAATAAATATAAAACGATGGTTTGGTTTTGCTGCGACTACTTGACCTAGACTTTCGAACATGCTTGGCAAATTCTCAATGGTACTCGACTCTCCGAATGCTTCATCAATGGTGCTCGACTCACTGATTGCTTCTTCCTCCTTAACCTAGTCAAAATATCCAGAGTTAGCTCTTGTCCCTCATCCCTACAAATGAAAAAAACGAATTCATCTAATGGTGCGTTTGATTGCAATGGTGGAAAATAAGTGGAAAGAAAATGTTTTATAGGGAAAAAATTTGCCTAGAAAATATTTTGTAGGGAAAATGATTTCAAGTGTGTTTGATTGGTATAATTTTCCATCCGAAAAATTTTTAAATTTTCTATTCGTTGGACTTTGTTTTACATGAAAATTGTCCATTAAAGTGATTTTTTTCCCACAATTGGTTATAAAATTTGTTTCCATTGCCAAAAAGTAAAAAAAAAAGGGAAAAAAAATTGTTTCCTAAAAAATCATTTTTTTCATTAAAGTTTAGTGTTCGTTTGACTTTGTTTTACATGAAAATTGTCCATTAAAGTGAATTTTTTTTTTTTACCATTGGTTATGACAATTGTTTCCACTGACAAAAAAAAATAATAATAAATAAATAAATTTTCCAGCCAATCGGGAAAATATTTTCCCACCAAAAAAGCGGGAAAACATTTTCATCAAAAATCCGGAAAATACACACGTGTGGGGAAAATTCGGAAAATATTTTCCGTGGAAAATTTCGCCTATCAAACAGCCAAAAAAGTGAAAAATATTTTCTTACTTCCCGAAAAATGTGGCCTATCAAACACTGCCTAAGTTAAATTGCAAGCTCACTGCTTCTTACAATTTACCAGCAACAAAACAATCAAATGCCACACTGACTCAAATTGACCCACAGGCCACAATTAACAGCCTTACTGACTACAATAAACAAACACGCAAAACATAAACTACTCAACAAGCTCGTAAATTATCGCATTTCAAAACTTCTCAACAAGCTCGTAAATACTAAATAATGTCATTTCACAACTTCCCAAAACACAATTTGGGCAGCGAATAATTTCTTCAAAAACCCAAAATTCTTAGGGTGCATTTGATTGCAAGGATGGAAAATGGGTGGAAAGAAAATGTTTTACAGGAAAAAGATTTGCTT